ATTTCTATGTAGTTTTAAAGGTTTATTCCATCGTAATGTTACTTTCTGTCATGTGGTTACTCAGAGTTGCATGTCTGTGAATGTTCTCATTCGTACAGGTCATTGTTATCTCTCTCTCAAATTAGTCACTAGTCTGACGAAGTGCGGACTAGAGAGACCAATACATAAGAACTGATGAAGCCGCTTGGATAAGAGGCGAAACGTCTTCCACAGACAAATACAAGTCCAGTAGCCTTCAATTTAATTTGAGTCAGAGTTGCATGTTGGGTACTTTCTGTAATTAGCATAATTAGATGATTATCAGATAAAATAAAGATGGAATCATGTGCTAAGACACAAGGACGACTCTGCTGCTATAATTTAGTAGTTTAATGTTGCCAATATAAGATGAGACAATATTACATTCCTGCAGTAGCCTACAGAAGGCTGCAGTTTCAGGACCATGGTTGTGTATCATTAATAATAATATATATATTTTTTTTATTATAAACACAGCAGATGGCTAAAATTATAGTAAATAGTTGGCTACTCTTAATATGTTTATTAGAGCTGTCATACTCACACTGTGATTGTCATCTTACTGAAGTGCCATCGTACTGCATTGCAAAAACTAGGGTCATGAAACTGCAGTGTCCGGTTCTGCAGGAATGCCTGATTCACTCTGGGTCACATTAAGCTGCCGCACAGACCTGAGGGTTGGTTTATTACAGGAGGACAGTCTCATCTGTGAACTGTGGTTCCCTCACTGACACTGTGAGATGTTTCATGAGACCAAACCATAAGTATTTGACACCACAGATGTTCTGTAGGCAGAGAACAGATTCTTACTGCAGCATGGGGGTTTGGTTCTGGTCTGACCAGTGCAGAACTAGGGTCAGGGTCTTGTTGGGTCTGAGCTCTGCCTCACGAGCGGGACACCATATGTTTTATCTTCGGTTATCTATGAATTTATTGGCTATCTTAAATTAAGAAAATATTGATATTAAAAATATTTATATCAAATAATAACTTTAAAATGAATTCAAGTCCTCGGGGCACCAGCCTAAAAAACATAGGCAAAATAGCCAGTAGTAAATTAAAGTTGAAGGATTGGAGTTCTACTGAGTAGAGGTTGTCACTGTTCATCCATGTGCAACATTAAACACACCAGTAGTTATACTTAAAGACATTTATTTACAATGGGACAGAGTAAAACACAATGTTTAATCTAGTATATACAGGTGTGTGTGTGTGTGTGTGTCGGTGTGTATGGGGGTGTGTCTGTGGGGAAACAGACAAAGGCAAGATGGCTGATTCAAAATGTTGCTGTGACCACATGACCTGAACAATGAAGACTACACAAGATGGCGATAAATAAAGAATATCCCAGCATGCTTCTGTTCCATAGTGTGTCTTCTGACATGCCAACATCTTCTTGTCAGATGTGGTCTGCAGTTTAATGCAGATGTTTCAGAAATGACGACACATCTTCCTCATCATTTTAGATTTACATTGTATAATGTTGCTCTCACATTTCAGACTGGACCTCCACTGTGGATTTGTTTTTTCATGAGTGGCTCGTGGTTTTTGTTCATGCAGGTGACGCGCTATTCAGTTTATTCAGTTGACAGGCGGCAGCGATGCACCAACGAAGGCAGAGAAGAAGATGGCTGTAAACAGCCTGTAAGCATGGACGTAAACAATACTTCTTCTCTTCTTTATAAAGAAGAAAATGCATTCAACACATATATATGTGTATATATATATATGTATATGAGTTCTGCTTTAATGTAAAAAAAACATTTTGTTGGTTTACAAGAAAACTCTATGAGGCACTTTTAAGCCCTTTTCAGAAACAACCTGTTTGCCACTGTCACCAATATTTTCATAATTACTGTAGAAAACTTTAAGTTACAGTAATGAGAAGAACTAGTGACTGTCACATGACACCATGGGAATGAGTTACACAATGAGAAAACCTTATCCCCGGAGGACTGAGATGCTGCTGAAAGCTCCAGAAAACACTAGTAAGTGGACCATGAGTTAACATTTTCCTCCCAGGTTGAATGTGTGTGTGTGTATAAAACACACCTCACAGGTGTATATATCTGAGGGAGGTATCAGTTTCCCCACTGGGGTAGCCACGCGTTCTGAGTGACTTCTGATCCTTGGATGTTGGCTTGTCCATCTGAAGCAGAATTCACCAGTGTTGGATCTGAGTTATGTCTATAGACTACATCCAACAAGAGACTGATGCTCACAGAATGACAGGTTCAACTTAAAGAAGAAGAAGAGAAGCCAGATGAAGGTTGGCAGCTCAGTCTTTGGTCAGATGAAACCAGAATATTTAGTCTGGATCAGATGTGGTCCAGTGTGGTTTGGTGTGGACCTGGTCAGGACCAGCATAGTGACTGCACAGTGCTGGCTGTAAAACATGGAGGTGGAGTGAGCAGCAGGTGGAGGAGAGATGCTGTTTATACATGGTGCTGTGAACGCAGGTTTACACCAGATACTGAAGGAAGAGACGAGTCCCAGCATCAAGAAGACAACGACCTGGTCAAGTCTGTCCCCATCCTGAATCCAGTAGAAAACCTTTGGAGCATTTCAAATGTGAAGGGCAACAAACATGGATCAGAGAGCAGCTACAGAGACTCTGAAGAAGCTGAATGTCTCTCCACAGATCAATCAGACTGGTGTCATCAAGATGATCCAGTCTTTCTTCAGACATAAAGGTGGACACACAGAATATGAAACTGTCCTCAGATATAAAGGTGGACACACAGAACATGAACTAATAAAAGAAGAAAATCTCAGTGATGAAGGTGAACTGGCTTTTCTTTGCCTTAAACATGGACGTTTCATTAGTCAAATATTTCTGAATTAATTCAGTCAAGTTCAGACTCATCTAAAGGATAATTAAAGTAAACAGGAAGCAGCTGATACTTCTGTTAAAAAAGACATTTCAGGTTTTGATTATTGATAAATTTGTCATTATGGATTATTTATTGTAGATTGATGGACTAAATGGCAGTTTTATTCATTTAGGGTGATTAAAATTGAGTCATTGTTAATGTTATTAATTACACCTGTCTTTCCTGCTTCTGTAAGTTCAGTAACTTTTCATCTAGAGCGCCACCTGCAGGTCCACATCATTCATTTGTCCAATCATTTACCAAATACCTGCTAAACTAATACACTTCTCAAAAAAAATTAAGGGAACACTTAAATCACACATCGGATCTCGATGAACGAATTATTCAAGTTGAAAATCTTTACTGATGTACATTATATAATTTGTTGAGAACAAAATGACGTAACAATAGTCAATGGAAACCAAAACCATCAACCCATTGAGAAGATCAGGGCATCAGTGAGCTCCTGGACAGTCTGTGGCGGTACTTGGAGGCGTTGGATGCACTGATACATAAGGTCCCATAGGTGCTCAATTGGATTTAGGTCAGGGGAACATGAGGGCCAGTCAATGGCATCAATGCCTTCGTCATCCAGGAACTGCCTACACACTCTGGCCTCATGAGGCCGGGCGTTGTCCTGCACCAGCGTAAGGTCTGAAAATTAATCTGAGGATTTCTTCAGGGTACCGCTGGCTGTGACATGGAGGTCTGTGTGACCCTCCAAGGATCTCCCTCCCCAGACCATCACTGACCCACCGCCAAACCGGTCATACTGGATGATGTTGCAGTCAGCGTAACGTTCACCACGGCGTCTCCAGACTCTTTCACGCCTGTCACATGTGCTCAGTGTGAACTTGCTGTCATCTGTGAAGAGAACAGGGCGCCAGTGGTGGACCTGCCAGTTCTGGTGTTCTCTGGTGAATGCCAGCCGAGCTGCAGGGTGCTGGGCTGTGAGCACAGGTCCCACTGGAGGATGTGGGGCCCTCATGCCACCCTCCAGGAGTCTGTTTCTGACAGTTTGGTCAGAAACATGCACACCAGTATCCTGCTGGAGGTCATGTTGTAGGGCTCTGGCAGTGCTCCTCATGTTCCTCCTGGCACAAAGGAGCAGGTACCGGTCCTGCTGCTGGGTCGATGCCCTTCTACGGCCCTGTCCAGCTCTCCTCGTGTAACGGCCGGTCTCCTGGTATCTCCTCCATGCTCTTGAGACTGTGCTGGGAGACACAGCAAACCTTCTTGACACCGCAGGTATGGATGTGCCATCCTGGAGGAGCTGGAATACCTGTGCAACCTGATTGGGCTGCAGGTACCGCCTCATGCTACCAGTAGTGACAAGGACACTAGCAAAACACAAACCTAGAGAATCAGTCAGGAAGGATCAGGAGAGAGCAACTGTCTGTGGTCACCACATGTAAAACCATTCCCTTTTTGGGGCTTGTCTTGCTTTTGCCTCCATTGCACCTGTTGTCACTTTCATTTGCACCAAAGCAGGTGAAACTGATTCACAATCTCTTGTGCTTCCTAAATGGACAGATTGATATCCCTGAAGTTTAACTGACTTGGTGTTATACTGTGATGATTTAGTGTTCCCTTCGCTGTACTTTGTGTTTTCTGCTAATAAGCAAATGTAACCATGCTAACATGCTAATGTTGTTAACATCTGCTGAAAATCAGCATTCTGGTATTAGCATTGTTAGGATACTGACGAGCATTTTCCTTAGTCTTGCTGAGTGTTTAAGATCTTAATAAATAATATCTTATTACTGTGATGTTTATTTAACCGTGAATATTGAATATATTTAATATTAATGTTAATATAACCATGAATATTTGATATTATTGAAAAACATGTCTGATTTGAAGCAAAGTTTTTAAAAAGAACGTGGATTTTAGAAGCCTGGTCCTGTCTTCTGAGGTCGTCATTAACTTTATAAAATAACTACAACACACTGGAAATGTAGGATGGATATGGATGTGTGTTTAACTCCCTCCACATCTGACTGAAACCTCAGGTGCTCAGTGTCTCTTCATGGCTTCCTGTTCCTTACGCCGCCCAATGAGGAGCTGACGTCCTGTTAAACGCAGAAAGAAGCATTCGCACAATCAATCTGTACTTTCAAGCTCCATTTAATGTCCTAGCAAAAGGAGTATGTGACTGTTCTAAGGAGTGAGCAAAATAGAAAGTGCATTTTTTTGTTCACTGGAGTTCAACATAATAAAAAAAGATTAAAGCAGTTTTTATGTCAAACGGAGCAGAATTATTAATTTGTAGAAAAAGCAAAGAAATCAGTAAAGGTACTCTGGAGTATTTGGTGGTATGGTGTAGATCAAAGGCACATCACAGCTTTGTATCTCACTGGGGATTGTTGCACACGCACAGAAAACACACACACACACATGCACAAGCTTTCAAAGTACATTTCTGATGTGGCTCTGACGCTCAGTCTCACGATCTACAGTCACGGTCATGGAGAAGTGTTTATCCAGAGCATGGTGCGTTTTAATGTGGAGCCTGTAGAAGGGAGAACAGAACATGAGGAACGTCCATGTCAGCCTTTATTCAGTGGATATGATCCTGGAGAAATCAAATGAAGCAGGTGATGACCAGAGGGGCTTTTATCTCAGATTCTATTACGTGTGATTTCTTTTCTCACTCTTTTTTTTTTTTTTTTTTTTTTTTTTTTAAATAGTATGACCAGTCTATCCTTGGTTACAACTGTTCTCACTCTAACAGTCAAAAAAAAGGAAATTAACATTCAGTAAACATTCTTCTCTAAAGGTAGTTTCCCTTATATACTCTGTAATCTTCCTCTTCCATTATGTATACATAAACAAGTTTAATAACATACCAATCAGTGGTTATTTCACAATTGGAAAAAGCACAAAATGTTTACACTCTTGTACAGGTAAATAAAAGTTTCTGTTGACTGATTCAGTAAGAGTGTAGCATAGTTCAGAGTTCGTCTCATCGTGTCTCCTCCCCTCACTCTGCGCTTCTGCCATTAGATCTTTACATACAAATATTGACAAAGTGGTGGCTTGTGCTCTGAAGCCATTGAGTCTTTTCAAGAGCAATAATCATAAGGAGGAGAGGGGAGGGTTGGAGATGCTGGGAGGGGGTGGGGGTGGGGACTCATAGCTGGCCCTCGCTGCAGTGGCCGTCCTGACTGCTGCCAGGCTTCTCTGCGTCCTGACTGGGCAGCTCTTTGAGGATGAGGGCGGCACTCTTCTCTGAGAACTCGTCTCCATCAGGCTCCAGACCGTCGGGGCAGGGCAGCTTCAGAAACTCCTCCCTCAGCTGAGCCGTGTGTCTCTGCAGGGACCCCACACACACACACACACACACACACACACACAGAGACAGAGACAGAGACAGAGACAGAGACAGAGACAGAGACACACACACACACACACACAGACACACACACACACACACACACACACACACACACACACACAGATTATGAACCAGTCCAACTCAGCTGCTACAAGACAAGTCTGATGATATTCTAGATTTTCTCATGAACTTTCTCAGTGCTTTCTGACCACGGCTCTCAGCTCCAGCTCCACTGGTTCCTACAGTCTTCAAAAACATTTCAGATACCTGGTTTCATTTCCTAAAACAGCTGCTCACTGTGTTGGAGCAGCACGGAGGTGTGTGTGTGTGTGTGTGGGACTGAGTTTGTGTCTAGGGCTGGGTTAACATGCTACACTAACATGATGAACATGGTATACATTACACCTGTGTAACATCGACATGCTAGCATTGCCTGTGTGATCATGTTAGCATTAGCATGGGGCTCTAAGTACAGGATCACAGAGCTGCTAGTATGGGAATAGACAAGATTGTGAGGGTCAGGTAGACCCCAACACAGGTCTGCCCCACGGTGGTCTGAGGGGGTTTTAGTGGACATCACTGGAGTCTGTGGCTCAGAGGGAGACAGTGCACCAGGCTGTGAACCTGCACACAACACTTGTTGGAGGGAAACATAAAACTGGGATATTTAAAATCACCAGACCCATCCTGAAGAGATGAGATCATAAACTTTAAACCCCACCTACCACCTCCTTCTACATCACAGTCTGCTGAGAGACGGTCACTGATGATTGGCTACATGAGAACATACAGAAGATGGCGAATGGTGGACAGTGGAAGAGTGTATACAGCTAAACATCTCTTATTCTCTTATAGACCAGTTTATATGGTTAGAACTCATTCACCAGATCTGGGCAGGGAGAAGCCCATAACCTCAGACAACAACACTGAGGCCATCTCCTGCAAAATGTCTCTGACCTTGATCATATAATCATGTTTTTTGGGGAATTTTTGCCTTTATTCTGATTGTCACAGTGAGAGAGAGAGACAGGGAAGTCAGCGAGATAGAGAGAGGATGACATACAGCAAAGGGCTACAGGTCGGACTGGAATTCGGGACACTACAGGTAGGACTAAGCCTTTGTGGTGCTCTACCAGGTGAGTCAGCGAGGCGCCCCATTATATCATAATAATGCTTATAAAATGAAAACCGGCCCTGCTGACACACAGAAACGTTCCTTTATTTTCAAACACTGAAGCTAAACAGCAGGAACCCAGAGTGTTGTCTTCAGTGATGTGCAGCTGTGTTAAACATCTGGCCTGAGTGGAGCTGAATTATTTACAATGGGGATTAATTGTACTTATTCACAGCCAGAGGGAGAAGAGAGGAGCCAGAGACACTCAGTGTGTGTGTTCCTGTGTTTGACTGTGTGTGTTCCTGTATGTTATGAGCTTCTGTGTCTCAGGGGGAAGTTGGCTGGGGACATGAATTAAGACACAAATTGTGTGTTTACATGCATTGAGGGAACCTGCTCACTGCTGGATCCCTTTTGGTAGCAGACAGTCTCATCTGGCAACATCAAACCAGATGAAGGACATACGACCTCTCTAAATAAACCCTCATAAAGTCGTGATATTTACTGTTCAGGACGCAACACAAAACACGACTCAGTTCTCCAGCCTGATGCAGACTTGTTGTTCATCAAAAAATATTCACAACCTCTTCAAAAAGTTCAGTTTGTGCATTTGTGAATGAAAACCAAGTTTAAACTGAACAAAGAGGATTCTCCTCTTCTGTTACAGTAGCTGAGTCAGAGGGAGGCTCTGTCACAGACACTGTGTTGTTGTGTTGTGTTGTGTGTCTTTTCCAGCTCTGTGGGCTACACAGTGCTTCTGTGGAGTATAGTGGGTGGAGCTGTGGCAGCACAGGTGATCAGCTGTGACTCAAGGAGGAATGCACAGGTGTGTCCTGAAGCTTCCGCAGGGAGTCTGATTACTGACATTAGGCTGACTTTACATGTGACTGTTGTGTGTGTCACTACCTTACCTTCAGTGCAGCAGCATGGTGGGACATCGTGCGGCCGACCCTCTTGTCGCTGCTGTACTGCTGGATGTCGACAATCCACTCCTCACACTGAGACATGATCTCTGTTCGCTTCAGGTAGAAGTGTTTGTGGATTACCTGCAAACACATGACAGCAGATGTCAGTCACATGACAGCAGAGGTCAGTCACAGGAGAGCAGAGGTCAGTCACATGACAGCAGAGGTCAGTCACAGGACAGCAGAGGTCAGTCACAGGACAGCAGAGGTCAGTCATGTGGTCAATCAGGACAAAGAAATCCTAGTCACAAAAATAAGTCACTGTGACAAACCTCTTGGTTAGAAGTTACACACCTTGTGTATGAAGCTGTGTGAGTGTGAATGAACCTTCATGGAGCCCCTCCCACTAGAACAGTGTGTTTGTATTAGGTGGTGTATATACAGGTGAACAGGTGTTGGCTTTGTGACTCAGTTCATTCACAAGCTTCTGGTCAGTCCTCCAATAATCCTTCGAGCTTCATGTGACTGTCTCTGTGCTCTGGGGATGTCCAAACTGAAATCTCAACAATCAGATGATTGGCATGAAATTTGATGAAGATATTCGTGTTGCTCAGAGGATGAATCCTACTATTATCACTACTCTGTGATCCCCTGACTTTTATCTCTAGCGCCACCAACAGGTCAAAAATATTTTCAATAATCCATTGAAATATCTCAAGATCTACTGGATGGACTGGCTCAGGTATTCCCAGGTGATAAACATGCATGTTCCCCTGATGACATGTAAAAATGTTGGTGATCCTCATAGCGCCATCACCAGGTTCAAGTTTTTATTTATTATGAAATGTAACTGGTCACTATGAGTTAGATTCACAGTGAAAAGATGACCTGGTTTATTAGAAGGGGTGCATGATTAATCAAAACATTATCAAAATGGCAATATGGCCTAGTGTAATATCCAAATCAATAACTGCTATTTATGATAAAGGTCAAATGTTTCACAACAGAGCAAAAGTGAAGCATTGAGGCCTACACATCATGATCTCAGACATAAAGGAACATGTTAGTTTGGTACAAGACCCAACAAAAATCACATCAACATTATTTTAAAAAATTTTTCACTGGAAGTGAAAATACAAAAATGGTCATTCCAACTGAAATCATGACTCATATCACAACTGCATTATCTGACAAAATAATCAGAAAATGATTGTTTTTGCATATTGCTCAGGCCTATTTATGAGGTCAAGTTATTTGGTTGCATTACTGTATAAAAGTGTAAAGAAAACAACTCTCGTCAGTTATTTCAGGTCCAAAATGATGATATTTCAGATTTTAATGAGTTTAAGATAGATGTAATAATTAGAAATCTGTGCGGGATGGTGCTGAACATCCTTGGACAGAGCAGGTGGGCTCGTGTCTTTCATCTCTGTCGCTCTATTCACTCCCTCCACTATTTATCTCACAGACACACAGCATACAGATTCCTCTGTCACAATGAGAAGCATCAAATAGAACAACTTCTCTCCTCATATCTCCATCACTGAGGAGCTGTTTATTATCACTAATGCTTCAGACGCTCTCTGACATCATGTGTACAAGACTCCGCTCAATGGATGATGTCAATCATCTACACCCAAGTCCCCCGCTTTCCTGCCCCTCCGGTCGACTTCCTAGCAACAGTCGCCAGGGCAGAGTCATCAGTATTCAGCAAGCGCCATGGTGAATGTGTGTGTAGCTGCTGCTCCTCTGGTGGAGGGAGTGAATTAGTTACTATGGAGGCTGCTGATTTGCTGCTTACCAGGAGAAGGGAGGCAGAGGGGCCACAGGGAGGGTTTGGGGGCCGCTTTTAATCTCTTTCCTCCTCCTACATCTCCCTCTGCACACTCCATCTTCATTCCATCTATGTCATTACTTCCCATCTCTTCCTCTGTCTATTGTTCCTCCTACCCGATCCCCCCACTCCCTCAGCTGCTTAAGTTACATCCAGGGAGGTGTGTGACGGGCCCCAGCTCAGAGGGGATGTTTCAAGGTTGCAGATGTGTGGTAAACAATGTTGAGATTGGCTGATGCTGAAGCTCTCTTGAAGTGGAGATGAGGTACAGAACCCTTATACAACCCAAGATAAGAGAGATGAAGACATTATGTGCAGACATGTTCATACATGTGCTGGTTTAAACAGGCCTTTTCCCTGGGGCTCCATGTGGTCATTGATCACAGCGTGAAGGAAGCTTTATATGCAAACCGTCTCTGATCATGAAGCAAATGTCAGATTAGGGCGTCTTGACAAATGACCCTTCAGGAAATACGTGTCTCTAAGCACGTGTATACACACACACACACACACACACACACACACACACACACACACACACACACACACACACACACACACACACACACACACACACACAGGTACATGGAGAAGCATACACACTGACTGCAATTGTGAGCTCAGTCTGTCTGAGACGTGGCCTCTGATGGCTGCCAGAGAGACTCATTGACCTTTAAAGTAATGCTGTACACTCATTAGTCCACAGGGCAAGTGAGGGAGGAAGAGGAGCGGAGGAGCGGAGGTGTGGAGCCATTCTACACATGCGGGGTCAAGGACGAGAGTGAATCATGCAGCCATTAAAAAGTTCCTTATACTTGGTTTTCTGTATTCCATCAGTAGAGTGTCAGTACCTCAGGTACCGGCCCAGCTGACCCTGACCACAGCCCTGACCCACTCCAAGACTGGAGCATAAATATTTCTACCTCTGATGTCCAGTGGTTCAACACCTGCAGCTTAAAACAGGTTCACACCAGAGTCACACATGGCTACTCCACATCACCGGATCTCACTGAAACAGTAACCCACATAAATTATCATTTCACAGACAAGATACATGTATGAAGACGTAACATCTAAATATGCTGTGGACACCAGCTTGTGGTGTATCTATATACGTTTATACAGCTACATCCACACAGAGACTTTTCTTATATCAAAAAAGACAATGACAGTAATAACATATTATTCTAATGTTCTATAATATCTCAAAACTGACCTAAACATTACGCAACCGAATAATATTTAATTATATAATAATATATCTGTGATTTCATGTGTTTTTCAGTAAAAACATCAACAGAACCAACCGAGGTGGTGTTATTGGAAGTCATAATCTGCATATGTACAGTATGAGACTGTGAGTACAGAAAAGTACGGGAAGTTTCTATCATGACTTTCCATGATGCTGAGCTGTCAACACCCTGGATACTACATCCCCCCAGATACAGCTACACAGTTTACTCTGAATAGAGCTACAACAAAAGCATCCAGTGAGCAACAGCTGTGTGTTGATGAGAGAGGTCAGAGGTCAGAGGAGAATGGACAGACTGGTTGGAGCTGACAGAAAGGCTACGGTCACTCAGATAACCATTCTTTACATCTGTGCTGAGCACAAAAGCTTCAGAGTGAACACGTCCAACCTTGAGGTGGATGGACTACAACACATCAAGTTTCACTTCGTGTCCCCAAGACCAGAAACCTGAGGCTGCAGTGGACACAGACTCACCAACACTGGACAGATGAAGACCTGGTCTGATGGATCAGGATTTGTGCTGAGGCAGCAGATGGTAGAGTCAGAGTCTGAATCCATGGACCAACCTGCCTTGTGTCAACAGTCCAGGCCTGTGGTGGTGGTGTGATGGTGTCTATCTATCAGTCTATCTGAGTATTGTTACTGATCATGTTCATCCCTTCATGGCCACAATTCACCTTCTTCTAATGGCTCCTTCCAGCAGGATAATGCTCCATGTGACAAACTGGTTTCATCAACATGACAGTGAGGTCCGTGAACTGATTGGCAGCAAATGATGTGATGCATCATGTCAACATGGAGCAGAGTCTCAGAGGAAAGTTTCAACATCTGGTGGATCCATGACATGAAGAACTGAAGAACTGCCCAGTGTTAGTGTTCCTAATAAAATGTCCTAATAAAATGCGCACTCTTCAAGAAAAGGTAACACCTGGAACCGGCTGCTTGGTTACATAAAGACAGAATTCCTCTAAAACTAATCAATAATGCAGTGATACAGACTCAATGGAACAATTCCCTTTGAGGACAGCTTCCTAACTCTGTGCGTGTGTGAGAGTGTTAATGTGATAATGTATGCAGTGAATGGGAAGGATTGTGTGTGCATCACACATCTATACTTGAGAGATAAACGTGAGCGTGTTAGGCAGCAGTATCTCTGAGCAGCTGTGAAAGGTTCATTGAGTGCAGCTCTCAATCTTCAGGAGTAGAGCCTCTAGACGTCAGCCCGACAATACATGAGGTAGATTCAACCTCACTGCTGCTCACACGTTTGTTTCGGAAACAAAAGAGATGGTAGAGAGTCACAGCGCACAAAACGTTCCTCAAAGACTGAGAGAAGTCATGGATGCACATGATAATCCAGGAGGAAAGTGAGAGGCTGATGTGACATGTAACAACAGCGCAACAAACATGAGTGTTCACATGAGTGATCCGTCCTGAACTGTGCAGGAGCTCTGGGGTCATTTTAAGAGACACATTGTAGCAATGTTCAGAGCAACATCGGTTTCCTGAAGTAGTGAAGTAGCTCTTTTTAGAGTTATATGTTGCTTTGAGATCTTTGATTTCCATGACTACAGCAGCACGTTGGAATGTATACGGGTGCTGTAGCACCCAGGTTCAATCGCCACTGCTTAAAGTCCCTATTGTACTCATGCATTAACACAGGAGCCGGTCTGTTGTACTGTAGCAGCTGCAGGGCGTCAGACACAAAGTGACTGAAAATTAACTGACCCAACATGTTCCACCTCACTGGAGCTCCACGTGCTACAAGCTTCAACGTCAGTTACCTCGGTGCTGTCAGACACGGTACCAGCAGGAGGGACGGCTCAGACTAAACAATTACAGAGCACACCACTCAGTTCTGAAGCCCATGGCCGCTCTGACAGAGGTACTGTCACGGAACATGAAAATCATCAGTATGAAGACATGACACCTGTAAGTGAGGATGACAGTGCGACCACTGATGGTCAGCTCACTGACTGACAGGAGACTTGTCAAACCAGTTCTGTCTCTACCAGCCGCAACAGCAAAGGTTGATGTGAAGGTTTCTGATGAAAATGTACAGCAGAATCACACAGAGGTGGATTGGCTCATATGGAGGGCATCTTCTAGGACAAGCTGAGCTGCTCTATTGATTTTCAGTCACTGTGAGAGACAGGATCCACAGACATGGAGGGATGGTTGCAGGGAGCCACATGTGTTAAGATGTAGTGGTTTGCAAACAGCAACAATGCTGTGAGCCATAGAGTGAAGAGCGTTCAGACAGGTCACTGTGAGCGTGACTCTCACTCCCATTCAGAAAAGTGACACATTTCTGTGTCAAGATCCAGAGTGCTAAAGATGCTGCCTCATGAGAAGTGACAGGACTAGATCAGGCAAGTCAGAGGTGCGACAGTCAGAGGCATCAGCCCGGCTACAGCATGGACCACCACGTCAGCACTTACTGCTGCATCTCCACAGGCAGGGACAGAGGATGCAAACCCAGATACGGCACGTTCAACAAAGCATACGGTTTTACGGTCTGACTGTGCTGATAATTAGTGTATAAATTTGTGAGTTATGGCTGAAAACATGTTTTGTGACGTCACAATGACCTTGACCTGTGACCACCAAATTCGAATCAATTCATCCTTGAGTCAAGGGGATGTTTGTGCCAAATTTGAAGAAAATCCCTTACTGAGATATTGTGTCCATGAGGATGTCATCATGGAGGCCTTAAAACAGTTCCTACACAGCTCTGGATTCAGGTCTTCATTGAATGTGATCACTTGACCCAGAAGGATCCAGGAAGCACATGTTAGAGTTTTGTCCATGTGCCTTTTGTTTCACCCTCTTTACACATCACAGTCATTTTTACGAATATATTCATTTCTTAAACCTAGCATCAGGTGACTGATGGTTTGGTCTCCTTGCAGCAACCCTGGACTAGATCAAACATGATAAATTTGTTTCTAAATGTTAAGCAGCAGAGGGGGGCAGCTGTTGGTCGATGTTTGTCCTAGCTGACGACTTAAAGGTGCTAAAAGGCCAGTGTTGAGAAAAGCACATAGGACCATCTCACAAGCTTAATTGAATTTCTGTGTGGATATGTGTGAGACTGCTCAGCTGGGTGGCATCGACAAGTCCTGCTACATCCCCTCAGTATCTCTCGGTCCATTCCACTGGCTCAGTGATGTCATGGATCCAGCATCGCCTGCTGTGCAACACTTAGATTTCAACTTCAAACCCTACAGAAACAGCAGCGGCTGTGGGTTCATGGAGAGAATAATCTACATCATATAAAGAATCTAATTCACAACATAAACACATATCCTGTCCAAACTATAATGCATCTGAAAACCTATGACTGTTATCAATATCTAAATAAACTGTAAATAACTTTATTCAAAGTTTAGGTGACTGTTGACCTCATATGCCATAATGACAACTTAAGCCACCTCAGCTGTATGTAATTAACATTAATGCAGTGAGTTGGCCAAACTACTGAATAAGACCAGGTCAAAACCTAGTATCTGTCTGCACCATGTATGGTCAATGATTGAGGAGGTAGCTGAAAGCCGTTGTGGAGCCACTGTAAAAAACTGACATCATTGCATCATATCATCATTCAGTAGTATCAGCTGGTTTCAGTCTTGCGTCAGCTTGTTTCAGTCTAGCGTCAGCTGGTTTCAGTCCTGTGTTGGCCGGTTTCAGTCTAGTGTAAGCTGGTTTCAGTCTAGTGTCAGTCTAATGTCAGCTGGTTTCAGTCTTGTGTCAGATTGTTTCAGTCTTGCGTTAGCTGGTTTCAGTCTAGTGTCAGCTGGTTTCAGTCTAGTGTCAACTGGTTTCAGTCTAGTATCAGCTGGTTTCAGTCTTGCAGCAGCTTGTTTCAGTCTAGCGTCAGCTTGTTTCAGTCTAGCGTCAGCTGGTTTCAGTCCTGTGTTGGCTGGTTTCAATCTAGTGTTAGTCTAGCATCAGCTGGTTTCAGTCTAGTGTCAGTCTAATGTCAGCTGGTTTCAGTCTTGTGTCAGATTGTTTCAACCTTGCGTCAGCTGGTTATAGTCTAGTGTCAGCTGGTTTCAGTCTAGTGTCAGCTGGTTTCAGTCTAGTGTCAGTCTGCAACACGAAACTGCATCATTTATCATATTTTTGACATAGAGACATGTTTGTGATTATTTTTGAAATATATTTGGAAATTAATTTACAGAAGGTAACCCCAGTTTAAATCTCAATATTGGTCTAAAGAATTGAGAATATATATTTTTTCCTCAACTTGTTCCAAGAAAAACAAGATTTGCAATGTAATAACTCATGAAATGTGAGTTCAAAATGTACCTTCAGAAATCTTTTCATGTTTCTCTACGGTCTGTGTTTTTCTCATGAAATCCTGTCAAGGTGATTGGATAACTTTCCCTCTCTCTCCTCTTCCTCTGTTCCTCTCTCTTGACATTTCTGAATGAATCTTCTCTGGATGAGCAGGTTGAAAGACTGTTATTTTCCAAGGCACTATCTGTCTCACCAGACCATTTAAAGGATGGCAGGAAAGAGGAAAACTGTGAGGAAGAGAGGGAGGAAGAGTGATAGGCCAACCTCCAGACAATGTCATCTACCAAGGATTTAATACGAGGGGAATTTATAATTAGAGTGTGTCCCCAAACAGCCCTGAGGGAGGAGAGGTGGCTGTTTTTTCCCTGGTTTGGTTTCTGGACTGAAATAGGTGGAGAACGTCATGAAGGGCAGACGTGTGCTGCTCATATATCATAGGGATAATTCTGTGATCATTTAAACTGTTGATGACCAAAGTGGTAAATTCAACAGGCTCAGGGTTCATAGAATGAACTGAGGTGAAGGTACAGGTTCATGTACTGGTTCTGGAACAGGGTACTGACATATTCAGGTTGGATCTAGACTGGTTTAAAATGTGTGTTGCAGGTCTGAGTTGGTTGTAAATGTTTATACTAGTATTAAACATCAGATTTTACCATGAACAATTTCAGTATCAGGATTACTAATAACTGTATGCAGACTGATAATCCTGTCCTCTTCTAAACTCCACTCTCTCCTCTCCTGATCCACACACTGACTAGGATGAATAAACCCATTACATTAGTGTTTTAGCTGTTCTACTACCATGTAGTCCCACCTTATTCAAACTCTTTTTTAAGCAGGTTTTGTCAGCCAGGTGAGAGGCCACAGGTTTTGTCAGTGATTAGGTCTCCGTTCATCAGACTGAGCAAGTTTTTCATGCCAGCTCACAAACGCTGTGTGATCTGAAAGGTGTGAATGAGTGATACAGTGATTCCAACCTCTTTGAAGCATGGTGAGGGGTTGCGCATCTGCTCCAGCATGGCCCATTTGACGGTGGCCTGCCGGATGTTGCCATCATATTCCCGTGAGCTCTGGGTGCCGCTGGGAGTACCACGGGAGCGTTCATACCCTGGTTCGTTGAAGTAGGGCTCAGCCACCAGGATGAGGGACTGCACCGACACTAGCACCTACAGCAGAGGGACAAAGGGAAGGATAGTTTAGGGCACTGAATGCTAAGAACTTCAATGATGTGTAGAGAGTGGCCTGGTTTGGTTTCCTCATACAATCCTGATTCACTGGTGAATCAGCCAGACATCCCCTCAGTGTCCTCGGTATCCAGAGCCTCTGAAACGATTTGGCAGTGGTGGACACTTGAGACAGAGTCTGACAAAGGCACAGAATATTTTGGCTCCATAAAGATATGTCCTTCAATATATCTTTATTAACAGCCCGATTAATGACTGGGCCTGTCTCAAGGAGACTGAGGACATCCTCCTCCATTGGCCTGTCTGTTCCAAGCCACTACATTACCAACAATGACGATGTTGGGCTTGGAGGCCTGCCTGCTGGCCCCACCATGCTGGAGCTGGATCAAGCTGAAAATGGATCCCAGTGAACTTCAACTGACGTGATATGTTCGTCTTTAACTGGGTTTCTACATCTCAGAGCCAATATCCACCACTTGACCACTTGATTCCAGCCCACTCCTTTTGTCTCTTATTCACCCACCCCCTTTTTCCATTATTGATCTGCAGCGTGCTAACTGGAATGATAATCAATGGAGATATCTCTATGCACTCTCCAAACCTGCAAACGAGGGAATTAGAAAAAAAAAAAAGAGGAGAGATCCATTTCCAAGGGCTCTGGCACACATGTTGTTGGATCAATACATATGGAAAATTAATGCAAATGTGTGCACAAAACAACCAAATAATGCTGAGGGTGTGTCAACATGTTGTGTTCATGAATTTGTGTGTTTATCCAAAAGCCTGTGCACCACTTTGGATATCCACACACTGTCCAAGCCCTTAAGGCTTTAGATTTAGACTGTACAAAAAGCTTGGTTAACAGAAATATCCCCTTACCCACAAAAATGAAACTATTATTGAACATTTCAACAACTCAGCTAAAAAGAATTAGTAAAAGTAAATACTTTGCCTGGAGTCAATGACAGTCTTATGAAAAGAGAAAAGGGGTAATGTAGTGGAAGGTGCTATTATCATGACCGACCGTGGCGTTGCAGTGTTCTGATTAATGGCGGCCATGTTTTAGGACTGATCATGCCCATTAATAACAGAAATGTCCCACAAGGCTGTTAAGAAAATTTAGTGTTGACAGTCAAAAAGTAGATGTGACTTCACTGTTTTTAACATTAATTAGCAAAGAATCCATCAGGGTCGATTTGACTTCTGGTCCAAGAGGCTTTTTTGTAGAGCACAGTGAGCTGGACTTGTGTCTCACATTTCAGGTCAATCGGACCTATGGTGTGAGTGGCATGGCCTTTATAAGATTGAGTTATTGGGCTTAAATCTGCTGTGGTTCAGGAGGTAGAGCAGGTCTTCCACTGATCAAAAGGTTGATCCCTGCTCCAGTCCACATGTCTAAGTGTCCTTGGACAAGATACTGATACTGAACCCCACATTTCCCCTGGATGAGTGTGTGTGTGAATGGGTGAATGTGCCATCATAAATCGCTTTGAATGGTCGATAAGATTAGAAAAGCTCTATATAAGTGCAGTCCATTTAATGGCTGATTGGCTCATGTTTCTTCGGAGGCACTGGCTCATCATCTCTAGTTATTGGGCCAAGTTTCATATTTCCATCTCATTCCAGCTCAAGGCAGAAGCCGACAAATAATAACTAGCGTGACACTGCATGTCAATAAGTTGTCAGATGCTGGGTATGTGTACAGGTGGAAGTGAGGGAACATTGCACGGTAGCCAGACACCGGATGTGATGGTAGCATTCATCCACCTGTGTAGCTCTGACACCTGGGTTGCTCTGACACTTGTGTTGCTCTGACTAGCTGCTGTGATTTCTCCTGTTGGGAGAGGACATCATCGTCAACAGGAAGAATGGTCCTGAGTTAATCAGTTTAATTAGCCAATCACAGTCAGCTTTGTCAACTTCTGGCCAGTAACTGGTTACTATGGTGACTTAGCGCCCCTGTGAGAGGGAGAGGGGAAAAAAACACAAACCTCTCTATATTCCCACAACAGTTTTAAGGCTAAAAACTTTTAATCATGTACTCATCGTGTTTCATCACGTTTACCTCAGTTCAGATATGAGCAACCAAAGTCACAGCACCTGTCTCCTAAACATTCTTAACATTAGAGCTTTAGTTTCCAGCTGCAAGTGTGTAGGAAGAGTACCAGGACAAATCACACACAGGGACATGAGGGGACACTGTTCACCAAGTTTCAGTATTGTAGCCTTTTTAGTTTTTGACATATTTATCATGTTTTATCATGTTTCGCTCATTCCCCATAGAAAACCAAAATCATAAAAAAATTCATATAAAATCAGCTGTTACAGATATCTACACCAAACATCATACCACCTGTCTCCTAAAAATGCTTAACATTTTAGCTTTGGAACCATGTTTCTAGCTGCAAGTGTGTATAAGTCGTAACGGGACAAAAAACTTATGAAAGAAAAATAACTAGAATATGCATTAAGAGAAAATGTGTGTTACTGCTGCAGCTGCTGAAGCTGCTAAGATGAGTGAGTAAAAACAGTTCACTAAAAAACAGATAGCATCTGGGCTAAAGATGCAATTGAAGTCAACTGATTCTAACTTCAAGACGAGTGATGTGTGTGAACAGGCATAACCTGGAGGTTCAAATGATATTGGTTTGTGTTTGGTTTGATTAACACTGACACAGCAAAATAATAACCTGACTTTAAGAAGGATCCTTCATGTCAGCTGTCGAAACACAAAGCCCATTAATACAGAGCCGCTGGCAGCGTAATGACAGGGCAGTGATAAACTGTAGCCTGTGACAGGGACTCAGAGAACAGACCTGCTGATCCGCTCAGACAAGTGACTCCGTCATGATGGATCCTCACCTGTAAAAAGCTTGAGGTCTGTGGGTTCCATTTCTCCTCTGGTCTCCCATGCCATGTGTTGAGGATACTTAAACATACCTGAATGCACACACACACACACACACACACACACAGACACAAGCTCAAGAAGGAAAAAAAAAGAAATCAGCTCAGGAAAATGACACTTCATCTTCAGGTGTTTGTATAATCACTGTTCCTCTCAATATGTAGTTTACATTTGTTTAACCTTAACATATACACTCAGTTGCTAGCTTATTAGCCATACCTAGCTCAAACTATTGCAGTCACATGAAATAAATCCTTAAATAAAGTTCAGTTTTCTAGAAACTGTGAAAGTGTTGATTCAACTTCATGATCATTTTGGACGTTGGAGTTTGTGGTTCTGTTGAACTGTGTTGTATTTTACTCACAGATGTTTCTAGTTAATCAGTGAGGGCAATAGCCTCAACAAAACCTTTGTTCCCTCTATGAAAGTAGTAATAGTAGTAGTAGTAATATTGGAAAAACCATCATACATCCTTCCAGTTGCTGAATTGAAAGATACATATATAGAAATAGTGAAATATTCAAACTGTAGATTCATGGGTGTTTCCTTGTACCAAATAGAAATATTCTCCATGTCTTCATTTCATTGGTTTCTTTTGACACTTTAGGATTTAATGACAAATCCACTGACAGGTCATTAAGGTGAAGGTGTTTAGATCTTTTGATTTTAGGATCTTTTACCACTGCCTTTAATGCATTTTGGGAAGGCTTGTCAAAGCAAAGTCAAAGGTATTTTGCTTGTTCATGGTATAAAAATAAAACTATGCTTATAGAGCTGCAGGGATGATTTATCTTTGTAGGCCAATGTTGAAGTTAGCATCACCCTGCTCCATTGTTGCCTCTGAGCCATTGTCCACAGTACTCCTTAACTTGTGCTTAATCAGACATTTATTTGCCTGTTTAAATATTTGCAGCTGCTTCAGATCACTGTTTATTACAACCTGTTGGCTCAAAAAGACCTCCACTCCTCAGCAACAAGCTGAGGATCTGCCACAGAGGATCTACCTCTGTCATGCACCCTCATCAGCTTTGCTGAATGGAGGCTTCTCTCTATCTCTACTACTGATGAGGGAAGTCCCATGTCTTTCTTATAGCAGTTGTCTGGGCTCATTATGGAAATACATGTGGACTGTCAGTGGTTGCCTAATGAGCTGCAGCAGACTGGGTAAACCTTAGAACCTTAACCCCAACTCCTCAATGGACAGAAGCTATACATATTCAAACATGTGTGAAGGAGGCACCCTCAGGAGGGTTCATGTCCAAATGTCAAGTTTAAATAAAACTCTGACAGAGTTGTGAAGGTCTCAGATACATTGGGTTAATTTGACACTTAACACCATGATGAGTGATTGATGGACAACCTGGCACCCACTCACTGTGAAGTCAGTGGAGATGTCTGAGTCTGACTGTAAGTCAACATCTCTATTTTCACTTTCTTTATACTCACTGCATGCAGATATGTCTTCTCGTTATTTTCAGAAATGTTATCATTTGGATTTTTTCTACACAAGCTGCAAAAATATTTTCTTATAATGAAATTTAAAATTGAGTGTTAGCCTTGATGTCCACAGGATTTCAACACAGCAGTTATGAATGTGCAGAGCAGAGTGTCACTACAACTGAACCCTGTTTGTCTTCTCACCTACAGAAATATTCTATTTTCATTCATCATTTAGTCAAATTTAATTTTCCATGTGTGTTCATGATGTATGAAAATATTTAATTTAAGTCAAAATTAGCTAATACAAGGCAGATATGGAAACCTCCGATTGGTGTTTCATGTCTCCCGCCCTGTGGTTGTGTATTTAGTCATATCAATACATGCACAACCACCATAAAGTAGTGTTAGTTAGCTATGAAGTTGGCTGATATAAGTATAGCAGATTCTGAGATACTCTTGAACAGAATTGTAATCGATGTGTAAACAGTTTATTTGGTGATAGCAATTTTTCTGAAATAAAAATACGTATGAATCAAAGCTATAAAATTGTCATTTTCTGTTAAACAATGTAGCTAGGTAGTGATGCTAACAGCATCATAATAAATCTACCGTATACTGATGACAGAAATAACTGATATGGTAGAAAAAGTCTTTCTACCTTATCAATTATATGAATGTATGAATGGATGGATGACTCTGACAGAGACCTGGGGAAACCGTGCTCTTATGAAATTGACCATCATAAAGTCCATCTCCACTGAATCTTAATTAGAATCAGAACTAATTGAAATTGAAGTGCGATTCCAATTTTCAGTTTTATTTTCCAGTTTAGTTTCTCATTCAATCTCATTATAATTATGATAGTGTTAAACTTTAGGAGCAAAGAGGAAATTATTTGTCAGAGGCATTTTTGATTTTTGATCCATGAATAAAAAAAAAATAAATAAAAAAAAAGCATTTTATTATGAATAATTTAAAACTAATATTAAAGCTATCTCAAAATGTTGCTAAAAATAAATGATTTTTATATTGTCAATTGTAGACTTCCATACAGTGATACTGCTGCACTAGAGAGGATAAGTCTGGTGTCTGAATATAGATAAAGTATATATACAGTGTGTGCAGATTATTCTCAGAGTCATAACTTGGTTCAACACTGAATTATGGGAAGTAGAGCTGTGAATTTTTTTTAATGTCAATCAAAAAAGGATAAAATCCCCAATTACATTTACTTGACTGACAATATTAACATTAAGACTCACTTTCCCGTCATTGTAGAGGTTGGGGTTAAAGCGCACGCTGTGTCCACCAGTTGTCTCCAGATTGACCAGTGGAGGAGAGTTGGGATAGTCCTGGGGAAAATACACATCGAACTCGAAGCAGCCGTTGGCGTACGGGGTGTCGGCCGGCCCTGTGATGAGAACCTGTGAACACAGAGTGGAGAGGCTTTCATACAAACACTGTGAGAAAGGACAGCGATTAATCACAGCTGAAAGGGTTGATTAAAGAAAGCTGGATGCATTGATATCAGTAAATATGAATTAAACAAAGGGCACAATATTAATGGAGAAATGGTGCTGACTCTGTTTTAGGTTTTCATAACAACAACAATGTAATTAACAAACAGACTTAAGGGTGAAATTAGCAGCTGTCTACATCCTCATTGAGCTAAATCTAATTCATTTCCTCACTAAATGAGATTTGTTCATTAATCAAAGAACACAAGCAATTAAAACACAGCCCTGAACCTATACAGAAAACCAATAATATAAAGCTGTAATATTATTTCTAATAGCAGGCAACTCAAAACCCCAGAGCATAATTACTGAAGAGACTTTGAGGATTTAAGGTTTAAGAAATGGCTGCAGAAAAATATTTTATTCACAAGCTGTGTGAGGAAATGAAACCTGTAGAACAAACAGGAAGCTGATACTGTGTTTATTAGTTTCATACTTTGGACAGGTAGAAATGTTCACGGCTGGTGCAGACCACACGCTAACTGTGACTGATCACAAATCTTAAACCAAACTCAGGTCAAGATTTTACAAACTCAGGACGGTGACATTGTGTCTTTGTATTTGGGGCATTCTGTTTGATCAGTGCATGAAGAACCTTTTACATAGAGACCCAGACTATCTATTCCACAGTCCCTTGCTTCCCTTCTTTCCTCATGCTCTCTCCTACTCTGGAGCATCAGGGATTTAACCAGTGACAGCCGCATTAACTGGCTGTTTCTGCAGCAGAACTAATCGGTAAGAGTGACTTGACTCAACATTTAGACCGAACGAGGGAGGGGTGTGGACAAAGTCCAATTGCAAAAAAGGATAGTGTCCTTTTGTCCACAAACAAATTGTACTGAGTGAAATTTGATACTTGTTTGAGTGGAGACAGAGCTGGAGTTCTGCAACCAACCATCCAGACAGAGACAAGACACTAGATGTACAGTATGAAGGAAACACAAGAAATACAGGAATACAGCACAGATGTGAACTGTCCTATGTTAAAACCACATAAGGAGCTGCGTCGGTGAGCACATGTTAAGGTGAGCAATGTAATATCATGAGATAGGAGTTTACAGCTCCGAAACATCATACTGGTAACTTCTCTATGTTTTACAGTGATGGTGATGATGATGATGATGATGATGATGATGATGATGATGATGATGAAAAAGAAGTGTGTGCTCACACGTATCTGTTTAGCCACTGCAGTGTGTTACACTCGACAAAGGTTGAGCCAGGTTCTAGGGGACCACCTGTCTTTTGCTGGAGCCACTGAACTCACTTCATTCAAAACAATGAGAGGGCCTCAACACATCTTTACTATGACATCCTAGCACCTGTGAACACCTTAACTCATGTGACTCCAACAACTCATCAGAGGCCACGTGGACTAATGACAGTTCTATATCAGTTACTCACCAGGTTCACCCTTCCAGAAGAAGCTTTTTAGATAATAAGTCCAGTTGCCTTCTACCTAGTTAGCTTCTAGATCTCCTAAAGACCTGGACAGAGCAGGACTTCAAATGATTACATTTCAGTGCTGTTGACCAATAACCAGTTGTCTTGATAGTGCTGGCTTCTGACGGGACAGAGAGCCAGAGTCCAAACAGAGGAAGCTATCAGAGCTTTTTAGTTGTGCTGCACCATTCAGAGTAGAAATTGTTCTACAGAAGATCAATGGTCTAACATGTTACTGGTTAACCCACCAGCTTCATCATTTCAGTCAACAAGATTCTGGCTCCATATGTTTTGCATTGATGAGTGAATGTCACTTTGTGGCATGATTGCTGCTGAAGACCTGAACATCCAGACACAACACTGAAACTGTAACCTGTCTCTGATTAGATATAATGTGTCTGCTGGGTTTGGGCACATGAGCTATCCCTCCACAAACACCCTGTCTGTGCTGTAGAGATGGTCTAGTACCAGGACAGGTGAATGTGAAGGACACCTGGCAGGTAGCCTGGAGGAGGATGTGTTGACCCAGGTCTAAACCACCACCTCAGTCTGCAGCACTGTTGTCAGGGTTTGTAACACTGAGATGACTCGGCAGCTACACTTGCAAGATTTCTTGCGGGTGCTGGACACCGCTCATGCATTAAGTTTATTTTGACATGAACATTCAGATCCAACACTTCTGCTGCACTTCAGACCAAAGTCGGGTGAATCTGGTGTGGAAGCAGGAATGAAAGCGACTGTGCCACTGTGACAGCAGCAGCACAGTAAACGCAGCAGACTGGGTGCTAATGGGCACTAATGTGAAGATGCAGTGGTGAGGTAAGCAGATGTAGTGACCCCTCACAGATCAGAGATTTCCACCTCACCAGTCCCTGTCCCTCTCTGTTGATGCTGTTCTTGGGGAAAGTTTATAGTGGTAGATTATGAACTTGTTGGTGTATCACAACAATGCAGTGCTGTGACAGGACTGTTGGCTGAGGACAAAGATCATTCCTCTTATGCCCCAGTTTGTTAACAAAGCGGGTCTATATCAAGCATGGTTGGTCTGGTTTGTCATATTTACAGTCAGAATGTTTCTGATCTAATCATAAACAACACAAAGTGCAGTTGTGTGTTTCTGTTGTGACTGACATTGTTGCTAGTATTCCACCGTTTTATTCAGTGTGTTCTTTTGCCAACACTCAGCAAATCAGATAAGGATTTTGACATTTAGCAGAGGAGACTCTGTCATTAGTCAACTTGTGGGGTGAAGTCATTTATTAAATGTCACTGGAGGAATGAGTAAGAGCCATCAACAACAGGCTGTGTGGCAGTGACACAGTACAACAGCCTTAATGAAGACACAAACACATAGATGTGCTCATTCACTCCTCAAACTAGTGGTTTCTATTGATCACAGGATACAAACCAAACAGAACTACCGCACTCAGTCTGATGACATTATAACAATGACAGTGGACAGTTATCAGAACCTGTTATGGATGCCTGAGTTGTATGGTGATACACTGACAACCTGCTTCTCTTGGTTGCTTGTCTCTAGCTGTGTCAATTCAAGGGCCGCATCCTTCAGAGGACGTGGTCTCTGAAGGTGTGCTCCTTTGTAGCCATCGTAGACCACAAAGGCCGAACTGAAATGAGGCGGTCTGGTCTACACAGGATTTTCGCTTTGCGTCACCAGCTGTTCCCGCCCTTATTGTTTCATCGCAAAGCGTGGCTCCTGTCACCTGGCAACCTTGACAACAAGCAACTTTTTTTTCACAAAGACTTGAGGTTTTAAGACCCTTGGTTTTAACAGTTGTACTGTTAGCTGTTGAACTGAGCTGAAACCTAGTACTTACCGGCGCAGTGAATCATGGGATAGGTTGGACCATGAAGGATCCACTAGTTGACTTCACTCCCACACTACTGACTCACAACAGCTTCTCAGAGGGTCATGCTGTGGTGTCAGGCCTCACACAGTAGAGAAGTACTTGAAGTGGAACTTTACCTTCATGATGTCCAGTCTCTCCTCATCACAGCGAACGAAAACGCTGGACGAGGATGACAGGGGCAGAGAGGTGGACAGGGTGACGGCCTCCTGGGCAAGGCGGCGGGATCGGGCTGCGCTGTTGGTATCGCTGGCGTTCTTCACCTGAGACATGTAGTGGTAGTTGACCTTGAACATGAGCTTCCCGTCCTCATCCTCTGAGACCATTTCAAAGGTGTCTGGACAGAGAGAAGACAACTTGTCATTACTGCCTGTAATACTGTCTTTGTGCCTGTTGGTTACATAATTACCAAATCCAGCTGCAATTCAATCAAGGAAGAAATGCAAGATGGAAAAGCCATGTGAAGCTCTCAGTATACTAACTATACTGACAGTGTGCATGTTTTCAACAAAACTCCTCTGTCTGATTGAATTACAGTTCAAATTCAGTGTGTTTGTTACTGTTAAAGTCTCTTCGGACAACATGTCCACTTGTGTGTGATTGTACTGGCCTTACTACATGATTAACCAGTACTAGAATACTAGCAAGTCACTTCTCTTATTTCTTGGCTGAAACATTGACAGTCATACATTCTGTCAATCACTTTTCGAAACTTTGCTCCCTATTCTAAGTGCTCTGTGGGGATGCCAGTACAAAGACACTAATGTTATAGTGCAGCCCTCACTCTCTACAGTTTCTCAATTCTGTCTGCAAAGTGAAACAACACTGTTTACACTCTTGTCACTTGTGATTACTTCAGACATCAAGCTGCTCCTAAGTTGATCGCAACACAGCAAAACCAGCGTAATTAATCACGACATGGCTGGACGGAGAGTGATGGACAAGACAAAAAGGACGAGCAGGATGAGGATGTAGCCTGAGTCTGCTTCCCCTTCAGGGCTCTGGCATGAAGGCATTATGGGTAATATCAGACAGAGAAGTGTGTGGATGTGGGGAAGAGAGGAACTCTACAGAGGGATTTTGGGTCATGTGTGCATGTGGAGTAAAACCAAAAGCATGAGCAGCACCAACAAGATATATGTATATAAATGTGCACGCACACACAAACACACATTGACATATAAACTCACCAAACTGCAGCTTCTTCATGACAGCTACATATTTCTCTTCTAGAGAGCGGAGGATGGAGAGGGGCTTGGGCCGGCTCGACACCTTCCTTGAAGACTCCACCAGCTTCCTCTCTGGAGCAAAGATCACGAAGAGCAGTGTGAATAAAGTGCATGCATGTACACAAATAAGCACTACAGAAAGCCTGTGACCATCTTAACTGAACCTGCGGAAGTGATGGATTAATTACTTCTATGTAAAACATGTTTTATGTTACACAACCCTGATCTGGACCAGTGGAAAAACTGATTTAAAATTTCAAACTAACCTGCTGTTTCTTCCTTCATAATAACACTCAGCATGTTCAAGATAAAGTGTGTCACATCCCCACTAATTCTACATGTCAATAAAGAATAATTATGATTCATTATAATTTGGATCAACAAAGTAATTTCTGAGATCTGGGAACACAGTGACATCAAACTAGGTATGAAACAGGACCAGTGAGGCATTAGACTGTGTAAACAAACAAAATGTCTGTGTGAATAAGTGAATGGATATAAAGGATATAAAGATATATATATATTATACATGTATTATTTTAAGTTATTTTTTGGGCATTTTATGCCTTTATTAGCTGCAGTGGAGACAGAGAGAAATGCGGAGAGGGAGGGAGATGCAGCAAATGGTCTGGCTAGCCAGGAATCGAACTGGGGACTCGCTGCTCAGGGTATTTGAGCCCATGTGCTATAAGCCTTAACCGTTTGGCCATCAGCTCGCCCTGTAATCTAAACAATTGACCTCTTATTTTTTTACCATTTTGGAATAAAATATGGGAAATGATAAGCAGACTTGGAATTGATCAAATTCAAATGATTTCCTGCCCTGGAAGCATAAGGGCAAGTGTCCAGGAGTATTTTTCTGAGCACCAGTATATGTTTTCAAGTGTTGCCAATGAGGAGAAAGTGTGAGAGAAAAATCTGCTGCATCCAGATTCCTTTTTCAGAGTTCTGCTGTTTTTGTGTTTCTACTTGACAATCTTCAGAAAGGACCTGGTCATCCCTGTAGCTTCTTTTCAGACAACCAATCAGATGGAGCAGTACTCGTCACCCTGGTAACGGAGGAGAAGCTTGTTCTGGCTGTTCCTGTCTATTCTGAGCTATCTGATATGTTAGCAGGTTGGTCGGACACTGAAGTGTTGTGCTTTTATCAACAATGTCAAACAAAGAGTAATAAGAGGCAAGAGGAAATGCTCGTTTGTCATACAAGAGGGACGTGATTTGTTGTCAAGATATTGTTGTCATAGAAAGAAATCCCATGTACAGTGTTTTTTTTGATGAAGCGCTCCCCAACGACCTGCCACAGAAAAACAGTGTGTGGAAACACGGACTAAGACGCTGCTGATGTCATGTATTTGGGCTGTTGTGCTGGGACAGGTACATCGATATGTCAGAGGAACACTTCTGGATCAATACTGTCCTGCTCCTGTCTGATCATGAGCCTCTGTATTAAAGAAATGACTATACATCTGTCAGGGTCTAATGCTGCACACTTTACAACTCTGTATGACATATGACTGCCAAGGCCTCGATAATATGGATTTCTTTATAAAGAGTGACATGACATTGATCTTTATCTGAATTCAAGTGATTAGTCAGATGGTGTTTATGTGGAGGGAGCTGGAGGAAAAGGGCAGGTGGGGGATAATTAATATTGTGTACCATGTAGCAACAAAGTAATGGGGAAGGTGTAATGTTTCATCATGCGGAGGACACTGATGGTGATACTTTAATGTGACTAATGGCTAACAAGAAGATTTTCCTTTCTTTATGTCCCCATACAAAAACAAGTGAAGACAGCTGCTTTGCCCTTTACAATCCTTCAGTGTCTGGCTGTCTTCAGTGAGATTTTACCTGTCAGTTTTAATATCTGTCTTTAACAGCTAGTATGCTAGCTAATGTTAACCTCAAGGTCGGGAGTATTAACTGTTGTATGGTAACAGCATCAGCTGCTCTTGGATCGATGTAATCATAATTGTAGTCATCCAGATTTTAAATCCTAAATATTACATGTTTAATATTAATTGGGGTGTCCCCAGTGCAGGAGGTTTCAGACTGGATCTGTGAAGCCCTGGGCCAAGCATCAGAACCCATCAAGGTCCTGGACCAGGGTTGTGATTGTTGGGAGCGGTGAATTGTGGTTAAATCAGCCCAGTAGGTTGTAGTAGGCTAAGTTTAACCTGTAGCTTTAGATTGTTGGCCAATAACCTCCTTGATGAAGATTAGATTGTTGTGTTCAGTCAGTCACAGCTGAAGGAATTCAGACCTTCTGATTAACTAAACCTAGAGAGGGTTTTAAAAGGTCCAAGGTATTTCTAACTTTATGTTTAGCTTTATTCCCTGGGAATTTCACTGTCAGAGGAAGAGCTAAAGAGAAATCCATTCATTTCTCTATTAATGCTTGACATTATGGTGATTTTACTGCGGTATTTATTTCACACAAAATGTCTTCATCTTATTTATACATTAATTTACTCTTACTGATAAATAATGTAGAAACAGCTACAGGTAAAACTGCGACTATGATTGTATGAGCTGCTGAAACTGAAATAAAAACACACATGTATGTTGTATACATACCCTGGTTGGCCTGCCGCAGGCTTGTTGTGGCAGTGTATACTATTTCAGCCGTCCTCTGGATGTCAGGGACCAGCAGAGTCAAACCCTCAGGCTCTGGATCTGAGCTTTCAGTCTTCACCACGCCTTTACTCTTATCTTTCTTTGACCTGCAACATACAAATATACTTTAAGTCACAATGGAGAACTGGCTGTTGTTTGAAAGCTCAGTTAAAGCAATCTGTAGCAGTGATTACATCACATATTTAATGTGGAGTTGTTGTGGTAGAAGAGAAGTCTGTTCAAACACCACGGAAGAATGAAACAGGTTGTACCAAACTTAAACTCCATTCAAACAGCATTTATTTCACCGTCACCTGTGTTGGTCAGTGATGTTAATCCCATCCAGGGATCCAATATAAAGACAGAAAACAATCAAGACCACAAAAACTCATCAAATGTGCTTCTGTAATGTAACCCATATTCTTTCATGTTTTGGCAAATTGGAGCCATTCAGAGTATGTTGAACCAGCTGCTGATTTCTCCAGCGCCCTCTGGAGAGGCTCTAGTCCTCCTCCTTTGTCCTGCTGAACATCCATGTCTATTAAAGACCTCGGCCTGACAAAGCATTTTATCTTACCATTAAGAGTACTCCTAAGTCACACATAAACTTTTTAACTAAAAGTTTTCTCCTAAATCCTCTTCACAAAGCTGCTGAGACCAACTTTTACTAAGGAAAAGTGAAAACTCCTAAATTAAGAGTGCGACTCCATTGCTATGGCTGACGTCAATTTTCATGGATGAGCTCCCTCGTGGTTGCCATGATATTTTCACTCTCTTTTTTTTTTTACTTGAACTTTTACTGGGTTTTCTTTTTCAAATAGAAAAAATGAGATGGTACATTTGACTCATATACTGATGCAGATACGTAAACAAAGTGAAAAAGAAAGAGAGAGAAAGAAAAGAAGAAAAAAAGGAAGGGGGAGGGTCTAGAGAATGGGCTGAACATAAATCTAGTTCAAGCCATCCATACAATACAGCAATACATAAAGTACATGAAGGAAATGGGTGGTTTACTTTACTTTGGGAGTATGCCTAAGGATTCTGGATCTTATATAATCCAACAGGAGTAAAATATGTTCTGTGCACGAAAATTATAATTTATCATTTTTATTCTTCACCGATTCAGATACTTTGTAAAGTGTTTTCCATACATGATCCCATGCTACAGTTTCCAAGGATATCCCTAAGTCAGTTTCCCAATTTCTGTGAATTGCATTCCAATTCTCTCCTGATGCTTTGTTCACCAATTTATATAATTTAGACACATTTGTCCTTCTGTTTGACCATTAATCGTAGTTTGGACTCAATATCTGTCAACCTGGGTATGACTATAGCTCTCCCTAGATATTTGGTCAGTTGTGATCTTATTTGCATATATTTTAAAAAGTCCTTATTTTCAACACCATATGTAGCTTTAAGCTAAGCAAAGGTTTTCAATTTTCTGTCATGTGGGTTTCTCATATCATCTAAAGTTCTAATACCCTTGGATTCCCAGTCATTTCTGATTGGCCTGCCATTCAATGTAAATCTATAGTTGTACCACAACGGAACACGGAGTTAGTAATCTTAAAATTAATCATATTCTATAATGTTTTCACAATGGAGCAAGAAAACTGAATCAAAGGGTTATCAGTGTTCTTACATAAGGGAACATACCACAGCCCTTGCAATGTGACCTTATCTTTTAACATGTCTAAAGCTTCCTGTTCCATATTTTCCCATCGTGTATCTCTTGAATTAAAGCCATAACCCCATTTTAAAGGATATCTAGGATATCTCTATCTATCACATTCGGAAAGGCCTAGGCCCCCCATTTCCCTGTCCACATATGAGTTTTTGTAACTAACCTAACCAAATTAGCAATATGTACTTAATGGCAGCGAGTATTTAAAGGTAAAGCCTCAGATTTATCCCAATTAATTTTATATTGATGTAGCTCCAAACTCCCTCAGAGTATATTTAAGGAATGTTAGAGATTCTGATAATGTTAGGAGAATATCATCTGCAAAATTGAAAATCTGCATCTCTGTTACTGGAGCTGCAATTGATTTAATATTGTGGTTTTCTCTAATCAGTATGGCCAAACGTTCTAATGACAAAACAAAGAACGTAGGACTCAAAGGGCACCCCTAAGGTGTCCCTCGCCTTAACTCAAATGGTTCAGAGATTATGCTATTGGTAGTTATTCTGGCTTTATGAATTAAGTATATCAATGAAATGCCATTTATAAAATTTGGACCAAACCCAAATTAGTTCTATGTTTTGAGAAGATATGACCATTCAATGCAGTCAAATGCCTTTTCAGCGTCCAGACACACCGCTATTGTTGGTTCATCTGTTGTATTGCCGTAATGCATTTTATGAATCAGTATTCTCATACTGTCTACAGTTTGTCTGGACCTTACAAAAACAATTTGATCAATGTGAATGGGTTTAGGTAGGATTTCATCTAATCTTCTAGAAAAAATGTTTGCATATATTTTCCTTTCTGAATTAAGAAGTGAGATAGGACAATATCCTCCACACTCTAAGGGGTCCTTATTAGGTTTCAGTAGGACTGTGATAATGGAAAAATGTGTTGAGTCAGGTAGATATCCATTTTCCTTGGCCTCATTGAAAACCTTTTGTAGTTTATCAACTAATTTGGATGATAAAGTGTTATAGAAATTTATACTGAACTCATCATTGCCAGGGGCTTTATCACTGGCCAGTTTGTTGATGGCAGCCAAAATCTCTGCTTGAGAAATTTCAAGATTTTCTCTATCTTCAGTGGATAGAGTAGGCAAATTTATTTTACTAAAAAACACCTCCAAATCATCCAGTGATGGGTTCACTTCTGAAGAGTACAGTTTTTTAAATAATATTCTTTGAATCTCTTATTGATGTCTTGAGGGGATTTTAATATTTCCCCATTTTATGATTTAATTGCAGGAATAGGAGGAGAAGTCCTTGCCTTTTGAAGCCTATGGGCTAACAGTTTTCACTACATTGCCGTGATGGGGTACAGCCCTAATTGCAGTTAGAAACCTTAAATCCACCAAGTACCGAGAAAACAAGTAGGCCTACTAGAATTTTGTTGGGAGGCGGAGGTGGCCTCAACCCATTACCTCCTTATTTTACCAACAAATGCTAAATCTGCAAAAATTTGTTGATTTGGAACTTTGTACAAAAGAACCAAAGGAAGATTTAGATGCAATTCTGACCCATGTTCCACATTAATCCATATTGCTAGATTCAGTGTAAAACAGTGCACAGGGTACACTGGACAAAACACTATCTAAAATATATTCAGGGGTCCAGGGACAGGTGTGACTGTCACTGCTGAATTTTGCTTGATGAAAAAACAATTTCAGTTTTACAGTTTATTTACAGTTCTCTTCATTTTGAGTTACTGCTATGTTTTAAGTAGTACAGGGCACGGTTTCATACATACACACATGCCTTATTTTTTTCCCACCCACACTCAGTGAAGAAGAATATCAGGGTCAGAGCCAATCAGAGGCACAGTAGGGGCGGGTTGCAGGTGATACTGCCTTGCACTGATATCAAAGACATTCATGTTTTATCTGTGTGACGTGTCAGGTCATTCACTGAGTTACGCATTTGTTAACAGAGCTCATCATTCTTCACTTGTTAAGGGCAGAAAACAGTAGTTACAAATATAAGCTGGACTTAATGCTGGACTGTCAGGTTTTCTTCCTGTGGTACCTTAGATGAACCTTGCTGCCATACGACGGCTGCTGCAACATTCATGACAGGATGTTCTAAAAATAACAGCAGATACATCATTCATAGTAAGGCACTCTGATGTGTGTATGTATTGTGTGTACATATATGTAAGCCCAGCATGGCAGCAAAAAGACAGTTGTCAAGAAGCTCTGAGTGAAGGAGGATGTTGTGGTCGTGTTTGATGTCGGATGCATGTTAATCCTTAGTGCACGTGTGTGTACCAGGTACAGTGGTTAAAGGAGCTATTTGTAAGTTTTACTATTGCTACATAGCCAACTTTAGCATTAACAACTGTTTACCTTCCCAGTCTAGAAGAATCGTGAGTTCAGCACCAAACTCGCCAACAGCTGTCTCGAGGGGTGGAAAGCAACCCTCTTGTTTTACTTTACTATTTCTATCACGTCTTTTCCTCTTCTGAAGTTAGCATACTTACCAGGTAGCCACAGTCCAGTCGGCCCATCTCGTCACTTTTCTGATACTGAGTCACTGAAGCGTCCAGTCTGCTCTGAAGAAGCAGCTGCTCAGAGGACGTATTATAACCTCCTGTATTATAAATACAATGATATCTGACGCTTTTGTCAAGACTGTTAAGTAAATAGCTGTTAATGCTAAAATTAGCTATGTAGCAATAGCAAAACTTACAAACAGCTCCTTTAATCCACAGCAGTTTTCTTTTACTGTTCATTAAGTTCATGTTCGTGGTGAGATTAAAGCCTTTTTCTGTACAAAACACATCCCTCCACATGTCCCCGACTACCTCCAAAAGTAGCTCAGTGGCTGAACCTCAGTGCCATGTCACATCCTTCAGGGTGCATTTAAATGCCAAGTGTGAACAGGGCTACAGATGTAAAGATTCTCAGTTCATCAGTATACCAAAGAAGACAGTCAGAAACACTGGGTGAATTTTCAGGAATGGTGAAATTAATGAAATGAAAGTATTATATCAGACAGAACTTGTCATGTATGAAGTCAGCTTCAGCCCAGAAGACACTTGTGTGATGAGAATGTGAGAATGTGTGATTATTCACCTTGACGTTCTGTGTAACCCATGAAGTTCGATTAATTTTCTCCATCTCACCTGAGGCGATTGGTGTATGTGTCCACACATGTCTTCATCTTGGCCAGCAGCATCCCAACAGAGGTCTGTCCCTCAGAGTGTTCTTCATCCTCCTCCTCCTCACTCTGCCCCGGGTCTCCAGACAGAGGTAGCAGCAGAGGGACCAGGGCGGTGCAGGTGGAAATGGCCCTCAGCAGCTCCAGTAGTGCCCGGTATAAAGGCACGTGGCGCGCCATGTCCAGAACTGCAGAGAGACGAGAAGGATTCAAAGTGTAAGATGACAAAAGATACAGAGACGTGTTGACAGTATTAGGTAGGTGACACTGAGCCTGACACAGCTGCATGTTTGTTATTATGGTTGGTTGGGAACAGGGTCTGGATGTCAAAGTTTCAGTTTGGAAATGTGTTCAGAGACCTGCAGCACAATAATCAGGGCTGAGTGAGAACGTTGTGTTCTACCTTTGCAACAACAACATCAACACAATTAAAGCCAACTCTGTTTGCTGTTCTACCGTTTCCAGGGTTTTTAATATGAGAAAACTACAGAGGACAGGCCAGGCTGATGAACTGTGCCCTGTGTAACAGTCCAAGCTCAGAAGAAAACATTATGTGTGTGTGTGTGTGTGTGTGTTGTGCAGCTATGCTCAGATCAGAGGAAGATGAGGGAAGAAAAACAGCAGACTGTTTGGTGATTACACTGATTGCGAAAAAGAACAAGTATCATTGAAACACGAGACAGATAGCAGCAAACTATGAGAGTTTGATACTGAAGATGATCAGATCTTCAGCAAAAGACAAATGACATGCTAACTGGTCAAAGCAGCTTGAGGGTGAAGAATGGACTCTTTCTGAAATGAGACAGAACAATAAGGAAATCTACTCTGAACCGAAGCCTCAGGGCAGAGAGCTGGACTCAGACAGGAGCAGTTTGGGGCTGTCAGAGGTGCACTGGAAGAAAAAAATGTCTCAATCAGGAGATGAGTGTTAAGACAAGTCAGTAAGAGCCTGTACTGGTGACATGTAGTGCGTGTGTGTGTCTGTGACAGTCTACCTCAGTAGTTTCTAAAATTCACCAACCAAACCTGACAGCTCCTACGTCTCGACTGAACTGAGGTCTGAAACACCAGGACGCGGATCGTGGCTCTGCAGCCTGAGTCAGCAGGAGGCGTTTGCCAAGTCAAGGTTCAGGCTCAGCAGCAAACACCAGCATCAGAAGAAAAACTTGCCCTTCAATGTTTTCTCTCTCTTCTTCATAATGACTACAAGACTTGATCAGTTTAACAATCACACCCTGGCTTATGTACACAAACCTCAAGTTGTGCTCACACAGGTGGTGTACACAGGTGAAGTAGCGGATATTATGTTTCTCTGCGTCGATTGTGGGTCTCCAATTTCACTTTGACAGAATTGGAATTATACAAAAAAATCTTAAATTTTTATGGAAACCAGTCACTGAATTTCATAGGCAGCTGTGAAGTGGGTGCACTGGTGACAAAAAGCAGGGGAAGGTAGATGTAGTCCAGAGACCAGAACAACATGATGGAGCAGGCAGAGAGCTTGACGCACTGTGCACTAACAGGTAAAAACAAAGAAAACACAGGTGCACTGGAAGAATGTTACATTTGAACATATAATCCCAGGGTTCAGCTCCACACAGGTGAAAAGGTATCACAGAAATTATAACTAGGCAGAGAAATGCCCTCTAGGTAGTAATGAAGTGGGGAGTTATCAGGAGTAACAATGACCATGACAATTCTAACATGCAGATGTTTAGCAGGGAGTGTTTACTAACCAAATGCAGCCATGTCAGTGTTGTAAACCAAGGTAATGGACAAACATGATGATAACACTAACCAGTCACTGTAGCAAACCAATGAACACAGAACTAAGATTCAACACACTTGTTGGAAAAGTGAAAAAGCGAACTGAGAGGTCAAAGGATCACCAGTCACCGGGGTGTATTCTGTCTGCAGAAAAACTGACCGTAATCCATCCAGTAGTTCAAGTCCTGAGAGCTCTGCCTAAAGCGGCAAAAACACTGTGGAATTTCAGATAAATTCACATCGTTGAAGTGAATCCTGATAGTGACATTTCACTGCGAGAGGGAGGCAGAGATTTAGAGAGAGGCTGGCTTGTGTCAATACTAAAACGAAGATGAGAAAATGTCATGAAAGGCTCAGTGTTGGGTTAATTTTCAGCCGTGGCCTGTCAGTTGCATCAACCAGCACTTGTCTAGCCAATCAGATACAAGGGTCTGTTGAGAAACTGAGATAATTATCAACAGGCTGAGCATGTGAGCTGCATCATTTTGTGAGGGTCTGTTTAGTGTGTGTGGAGGTACTTGTGCATCCATGTGTGTGCCCTGAAGTGTCAGCCTCAAAGTAAATAGAACAGCTCTTGTTTGTGGCACCAGACTGTTTTACATTTATATTGAAATTCCCAACTCCCTACTGTCCTCCTACCAGAACCTGCACAACACTGACCTCCCCGGGCTTTAATCTGCTCTCCAGTCCTATAACTAGTGTCTGTGGATGGCGCCCAGCATGGAATCTCAATCCCTTCTACATACACCACCACAATAACTCATCAGAATGCCTCCTCCTGCGCCAATGCCACACTTGTTAATGAAAAAGGAAGGGGCAGGACGTCCACCCACACCTTTTAAATACATATTTTTTTTTTAAATAAACAAGGGGAGGGAGAAGAGAACACTACTGAGAGAGACTGACAAAGTGAAGAATATATAGACAAAATATGTGAAGGACACAAACTATTCATTAAGAATAAAAGTATGGGATGTTTTTTTAATGCCTTCCTGCTGGCAACAGTCAGAACCAGAGGCGTATTGTTTTCAGATTGTCTATCCCATTCTTGTGAACACAATATCTCAGTAACACCTTGAGGCAATTTCTTCAAATTTGGCACAAACATTCACTTGGACTCAAGGATGAACTGATTAGACTTTGGTGGTCAAAGGTCAAAGTCACTGTGACCTCACAAAACAGTTTTTAGCCATAACTCAAGGCTTCACAGAAATTATACACACAAATGGTTCATATTTAATATGACTCTGGATAAACAGGGATGTAATCTGAGACTGGTCTGAGTGGTGGAGGCAGACAACCACAAGGAGGTGATTCTAGTTTTTTTTTTTTTTTTTTTAGCAGTGTGGTTTCAGTGATGGCAGGTTGGATCCATCAGAATACAAATGACTTTGGTGGTTCCAAAAGTTTTCATTGAGCACCACCATGAGCTGGACGTTTGAGTGGAATGTGTGACATAGACCGTAGAGGTTTCCAAAACACTTGCTACAGACAGTCATGGTCCCAAGAGGATGAATCTTACTGTCATTGGTGTCATTTCATTTAGTTTCACTAGCTGGTTGATCATTTTGGTTTCGAGTGTCTCAACAACTGCTGGATGGATTACCATGAAACTTGATATAGCCTATATAAACTCTGGCTGATCATTCAAAGTTCAACATGGTGGTGGTCCATTAAAAACATGATCCAGTTCAGTCACTTAAAAGTAAAATCAATATCTTCTTTTGAATCGCTTCTAAAAACACATTTCTTTTACTAAGTTTTTGAATAATTTTTTGAATAATTCACATATTTTTACATTGCTTATTTGTGTTTCTGTTTTTATTGTTTTTGGTTTTTATCTTGAGTAATTTGTCTGCATGTGTTTGTTGCTTGTTTTGTTATTTTATCCTGGTGAAGCACTTTGTTGTCTCGGATTTCAATAAGTGCTATGTAAATTAACAGATAGTATAATATCACTTTGAAGCTGAACTAGAATTATCACCTCGTGCTTGGATGCCTTCACCAACCAGTCCAGTTAATTAGTGTGTGAATTCTTTACCTATGGCCAAAAATGTGCTTGGTCATAGTGACCATTACCTTTGACTTTTGGCCACGATAATCTAGGCAGTTGAGTTGAGTTCAAGTGAACGTTTGTGCAAAATCTGAAAAGATTCCCTCAAGGCGTTCTCAGGTGTTCGCTGTACACCTATCCCAAGTGTTTACTGTTATTTCCAGCCTAATGACACAATAACGTGGGCACAAGGTTTCCAAGGTAACATAAACATGTTGTTTTTAATGATGTAAAACTACGGTAACACACTTCCACAAACTGTTATTAATTTGTTGGGTACTGTTCACAACTGCACTTGCTGAGAAAATCATTTTCCCTGTTCAGTAAATAAACTCCAACTTCCCTGAAATCCTAGAGACCTCACCTTTCAGTGTTCAGTGGTGCAGAGGCAGCACTAAGAAAACGCAGAGCCTGTTCTCAGCCACAGGACAAGCAGCAGCCCACAGAGCCATGACATCCATCACAGCTATGACAGTGGTGGTATTGCTGACCTGCAGTCATCACTGTGCTGCGGACAGCGGGCCTCCACTTGCTATGATTTAGGGCCTTCTGGGGGGCATTCAGAGATAGGTGCTATGTATAGCCATGTTGGATGCTCAGGCTGATGAATAGTTAACGGGCCTGCAGACCTGAATGAGAGAGGCTGCATGAGTTAGCATGGCATGTGGAGGGGCAGCTTGAAACTACACATTGCAATTTCCCGAGAAATTGCGGTGGGATTGGTGCTTCTGCCCAAGCTGAAGCTAAACTGCGTTGCTGGCTGCTGAGAAAAGTCTGAAGCTGAGCTTCATTGTTAAATGCCAGCAACTAACATTTAAGATGGAGCTGCAACTAATTCTGTGTCTGTGATAGTCTTAAGTAATGGCTAAAAAGTGTATTCTGAGGTCAGCATGACCTTTACCTTTGACCACCAAAGACTAATCACTTCATCCGTGAGTGCAAGTGGACATTTGTGCAAAATTTGAAGGGATTCCCTTAAGGAGATCTGGAGATACTGTATACACGAGGCCAAAATCATGATTTGTGATGTTACCGTGACCTTTGACCACTGAAATCTAATCAGTTCATACTTGAGTCCAAGTAAATGTTTGTGCCAAATTTGATGACGCTCCCTCAAGGTGTTCTGGAGATCAGTTCACAAAGCCAAAACTATGTGTTTTGAGGTTAGCGCGCCCTTGAACTTTGAACACTGTGCCAAATTTGAGTTCTGTCAAGGTGCTACTGAGATATAATGTACACCAGAATTGGACGTTTGGACGTTTTGATAGTTGAATGGTTTCTGTTCGAAAAAGTATGAAGGAGTAGTTACAGACCGTGGAAAGGTGAAAAGTACGAATAAAATATAAAGATTTGAAGAACAATAGTGTG